CCCCAAAACCCCAAAACCCCAAAACCCCTTCAGTTGTGAATTAAGAAATTCTGAGTTGCTAAGAAAATTTAATAAGGATAATAAAATTAAAATGTCAATGACTCCCAGTAATCTGAATCACACCTCAAAGTCACCTATTAATAATTCTAAAGCGAAGGCGCTTTACAGCTTTGCAGTAGCACCAAGATTTCCTAAACCCTAAAAATCCTAGTAACAAGCTCATAGTCTCTAATCATGCCAAATATAGTTGTGATAATCCGTCATATGAAATGCCAACAACAATATCGCCCAGAGCAACGTCCATTGGTTTCGGTCGTCGGTTCGGAGGACTTATCAATAAATCTGAGGCCCCTTCTCCTCATAAGTACAATGTGACTTCAATCGATTTTCACGATAAAACAAAAGGGTATTAATTTGGAATGTCCAGAGATAGATTTGCTAAAGTAAGGATTTTCAATAAATACATTGATGATGAGGAAACGATAAATAATTCAATTTAGGTTTACTTGAAGGAACACCCGCCACACGATTTAACCATTCCAGGGCCTGGTGCTTATCACGCTAAACTGAGCTTCGTTGAAAAAAATAATGGAATATTTACTCTAAGACCTAAGACTAATTTCTAATCTAGTAAGTTTATACAAAATAGTTTGAAATATTGCTGAGTGAAACTTCTCAGCATATGCTTTTTAGTTAATCTGACCTCTTTATAGTTTTTAACGATCATAGAAAGGATAATCCAGGCCCAGGTACATATGATAGCAATAGAGCTACTGAGAGCGTTAATGGACACACTGTTGAGTCTAGATATAGATCACCTGGAGGTACTGTCATATCTAAAAATGGGCCAAGATTTGATTCCTCTCCTTTGAAAAGAGCAATGCAAGAGCCAGGCCCAGGCTAATATAGGCATGTTGAGGCAGTGTCTAATACAGGAAACTATTTCATTAAGAAGTTCAAGAACAGTGGAGCTCCTGTCTTCTCTAAATCACGTAGACTTGTGGAGTTAGATGTCAGTCAGACCAGAAAGATCACTCCAGGACCAGGATCGTATCGTATTCAAAGTGAATTTGGATTTTATGATGCGAGTTAGACCACAGATGTGTAGTTTTTCAACCAGAGTCAGAGAATAAGTCTGCATCACAGAGGGGAGAGTAGTATTGGCATGAGGAATTCAATGCAAAATAGTCTATTTATTGATAAAGCTGAGCAAGATACTAATGAATGATCTATAGAAGACAGACATAATCAAACATCCCTATGAAACTTTAAAAGTGATTTCAGAATTGAGATTATTTAAGGTTCTAACTATGAAGAGCAGATTTTATAAAATGAGTCGTTCTATTATTAATGCAACTACTTTTGTAATTTTCCAAAATTTGTCAATCTATTTTTACAGTATGGGGTTTTGGGGTTTTGGGG